AGCACAGGTTTGCAGCTCCAGCCCTAACATGACTGGTGGAAAGCCATATTTGAGCGCTCCATCCACTAAAACAGACCATTCCATTTCGTCGTAAAAAGACTGTATATCTAATAATCCATGCCCATGCGCCGCCTTCAGCTTGGTGAAGAGCTCCTCGTCAAGAGCTCGCATATATGCTTCACGCAAAGCTGAGTTGCCTGCTATCGCCGCCTCCCAGTCGGTTGAGCTTGCCGCAGCCCAGTCCCGAATGAGAGGCTCGCGTGACAGCGACCATACACGACATACCATACATATTAGACCGATTACTCGATTGCCTGCACTCTTTTTGGGTAGCAGCCGTCCCAGTACTGGCAGGAGTTGCCATGGCCAAGTTGGACATTGCTCACACATCGTATACAATACTGCCAGATCCGCCAGCGCCTGGTCGGGCAAGCGCTCGAAGTCGATCGGCGAAAGCCGATCAACTCCTTGTCCTGCCCGTGGTTTCATCTGTTTGACAGCAGCTCTGATATCGTCGATGGTGAGCGGCGTCAAGGGTTCCGAGGCCGAATGCCATCTGATACGATCGAACAACTCACGAATTGCTGGAACCGACTGCGGCGTTCTCGAAGTCCATAAAGAATGCCAGTGCTGAGCCTTATGGTCCACCACGTCCTTGGGATGGAATATGGCACCCTCGGGGGTAGAATACTCTTGCTCAGCAGCTGGGGTCTCTTTCGTAGTCCGAAAAATCGCACCCGTATGTTCGTTTTTGCCAATCCATTCTTTGAACTCTGCAACTGAAGTTGAAATAGCATGTCCACGAGCTCTTCTTGCCACTGCCAAAGCCTCCTGCGCGTACAGATCCAGCTGTTGGAAGGGGATACCTCGAAGCTCCGTGAGAACTGTGAGCCATGACGTCCAAGTCGTTGCATCTGGCTTCTTGCCGACTGACTTGGAAGCTGAACCAGGCGGCTGCCCAGCTAGCTTAGCGCCGGCGACGGCCAGCGCTTCGGTCTGACTCAAACCGTTGGATCGTCTCTTATGCTGTGCCAACTTGTGCAGAATAACCTGAACTCTTTCCCACCAATTGGCTGCAACGTCTTGCAGCGCCATATCACGATAATGTTCACTCTGCTTCACGCGATGAGTCACCAGCTTAGGCCCTTCTGATCGCGAAGGTTTGTTGGACGGGTCCAAGTCATGGTGCACCTGATACATAGATTCCACACTATTGATCCATGCTGCATATGCTCCGCTGACATGTAAAACGTGAGGGCCTCCCACTTGGAATGCCAGCGACGCGCGAACGGGCTCCCAAACCTGGTGCTCAGCCTGAGGACAGAAACCTGCCTGAGCTCGAGCCAAGGGCCACAGATCCGAGGGGAGCGCGAAAGCAGGAGCAGCAGCAGCAGCGGCAGAGGAGGGGAACGGGGAAGGGGTGGCCTCGTTAAATTGGGGATCTCGCTCGCTTGAGGGGGTCTCACCATCATCTACTGCTTTACTCGAATCTGTATTCGACGAGGCAACTAGATTCACAAGAGCGCCTCCCGTCGTAGCCGAGTAAGAGCCGCGGGTGTTATTTGGCCGTTCAAATTGCACCTCGGCCTCGAGGGAGGAGGACGAAGGAGTAGAGGTAGAGGTGGCCGTGGGGCCCACAAAGCTGGACTCCCCTGCCCACGGGTCAACCTCATCTTCACACATGTCGAAATGGCAACCCACCCAAGTCTCGGGATCATCTGGCATCAAGGGGACGCTGGACGGATCTGTACCGAGAAGGGGCTGCTGAGAGCTAGGATTCGCTTCACTACCCGTGGAAGCTGGTTCTAAGATATCACCGAAGAGCCCAGACACTATGGCAATGTGTTTTCCACGCGCAATCGCCTGTTGGGCCAACTGCTTCGAGCGAGCCTGAGACGACCGAGACCCATTCTGAACCTGAGCCTGAGGCCTACCTACCTGTGGCAATCTCTCGGGAAGCAAAAGGGACCGAGTAATCAATTGCTCACCTGAACTCCGAAGCTGCAGCACGAGCGCGCAGTGAGGTTTCCACGGCACGTCCTGAATCGCTTGCACTCCTAGTATATACGGAATGGCTGACGGCGACGCTAGAACGTAATCGATGTGAGACGCACCACTCTTGCTCACGCATGTGTGCTCGACGGGAGCCTTGAGCACTGACGCCCCGATTTTCCCCAAGAAGCCGCCCGGCGAGAGCGTCAGAGATGACATGTTAAAATCACCGAGCACCACCCAGGGAAGATGAAGGGCCTGCAAAAGGGCCCCGAGCTTGGACAGGCGCTCGAGGTTTTGGCCACTGTACCCCTGGGAATGATGCCCGTAAAAAGTACATACTACAATGCTATGCCCGCGCTGCCTCACAACAACTGGAATGAATCCGTCAAGCATACTCATACCCTCCGAGCATAACTTAGACAAGTCGCTGCTATGTTCTGACAACAAATGGGTCTGACGATGGCCCTCAGATAAGAAGATTTCTCCGCCTTCCGTGGCGCGCGACTGCCCCGAAGCTGTGAGGCATCGGCGCCCTGTAGGCCGTGCTGCATTCAAGTGACACCGAAACTTAGCTAAGCGTGCTTTCTTCTTCCACTCCGTTGCTGCCTTCTCGCCGATGTGACTTTCACAGATGGCGAAATGCTGGAACACTTTGGCCGCGTGCAGGTGGCACAGGTAGTCCCACGACTTGCGACCGAGGATTGTGACGTTGCTGAAAAAGATCTGCGTGACCGATGCCGATGCGCCCCCATCCGACGCAGTAGCCGATCGCCTCGAACGAGAAGTGGCAGGTCGCGGTCCAGACGCCTCCCCTGCTGAGGTGCTGGTGTTAGGCTCCCTGGCTGCTCCCGCTGAAGCTGCAGAAGATGGCGCAGTAGGGCTCGAAGATGAACCTGCCGACGCCGAAGATGCCGAAGTACCTCCCAAACTGGTGCCGGAGGCCTCGCAAGGGGAAGGCGTCCCCGCAGGCCTCGAAGGGGCCGAACTCGGCCCCGATGACGGTCACGCCGCAGCGGTCGGGCCGCTGGCGGCGTTGGCTGCTGCCTGCGCCGCCTGCGCCGCTGCTGCCGCCGCCGCCTCCTTCGCCTTCCTGATGCGCTGCACCTCCGCCTCGATCGCCGCGGCACGCTCGGCTGCGGCCGCGCCTGCTGCCTCGGTGCCCGTTGCCGTGCTGGGCGGCGCGCTGGCCTCGGCCGTGGGCGCCGCAGCAGGCGGGGCCGTCGCCTCAGCAGCGCCGCCGCCCTCGGCCTTGCGCTTCTTGAGGTGCCGCTCCGTGACCGCCTGCTGCATAGACTTGATTTTGTCCCTCCAAGACGTGATGGTGTCGCTCTTGCTGCTGAGGTCCCTCTGCGTCGCCTGCAAATCAGCCTCCAGCTTGAGCAACTCCTCTTTCTCTGTGCCCTCGCACTCGTACTCGCCCGACCGAACCTTCTCGAAGAAGTCAGCGTCCCAGTCGAGCTCTAACTTGACTTTGTCATTCGCCTGCATACCTTTGGCCTGCTGCCCGTTGGCCTCGCCTGCTGGCACGGCTGTGAAGCCTGCCTGCGCTGCGAGGGCCTGGGCGGCCAACTTGCGAGCGATCTCTGCCTCTGCCAGCACACGCACGGTCTCGCACTCCTTAGCCTCGGCGCGAAGCAATGCCTCGCGGCATCGGCTGACCTGCTGTACTGCTTGATCATGCTTGTAATTGGCGTCCTTCCAGGCGCTCGCTGCCCTCCTTACGGCCTCCTCGGCTGTCTGAGGAGGGGCTGCGGGCTTCGCCTGCTGCTGGATGGCCGACGTGAGAGCCGCCTTCAGCAACGGGTCGCTGGTGACGCCGAGGGCCTGGGTGAGGATGTCCACGGGGGGCGGCGCCACAGCGAGCTGAAGCAGGTTGCCTCCTGCCGCGCCGCCACTGCGCCCGCTGCCGCCTTTACCTCCTGGCCCTGCATCGTTGACTGCACTCTTCGGCTTGTAGATCTTCACTGGCCGAAAACAGCGCGAGCACTTGTTCGAATTAGAAGCCAGCACATCGTTCCACTCGTGCCTATTGCAGCCGTGGCACGTGGACCAAAGACGCGCTGGCATGGGCTGTCGATCCGCAGCCGTTGCCGTAGCCTTCGACCTTCCCATCTCTCACTCTTCGCCAACCAGATCTCCTGCGCAGGCTCGGGCAGCGAGGCTGCGCGCTGGCGCAGCCGACTGGTTGCCCCCCAAGCACCCCGTGGCGGTGGTGAGGAGGAGGAGGAGGAGGAGGAGGAGGAGGAGGAGAGAGGAGGAAGAGGAGGAGGAGGAGGAGGAGGAGGAGGAGGAGGGAAGAGGAGGAGGAGGGGGAGGAGGAGAAGAAGTGGGAAGAGGAGGAGGAGGAGGAGGAGGAGGAGGAGGAGGAGGAGGAGGAGAAGGAGGAGGAGGAGGAGGAGGTGGGGAGGAGGAGGAGGAGGAGGAGGAGGAGGAGGAGGAGGAGGAGGAAGAGGAGGAGGAGGAAGAGGAGGAGGAGGAGGAGGCGATGCATGGGCGATTGGGGGTCGATGCGTCCCCCCCTGAGCCTACCCTATCCTCGTGCCCGGTGGCTCTCTCGGGCCGTAACTCGGGCCTCCAGAGACCGCTCGGGACGACATCCAGGTAGCCCGGGAGCGCTCTCGGCGACGCACAGCTGCTGGAACGCACCCCGAGGCTGGTCGACCGCCGAGGGCCGGCGAAGACACCCGAAAACCTCGAGCTTCGAAAACCCGAAGCGTGCCCCCCTCCCTGAGCCTGACCCCTCCTGACGTTGCCCCACAACGCTCTCCCCTCCCTGTCGGGCTTACGCTGGCCCAGGTCAGTGCAAACCCGGGTCAGTCGGGCACTTGCGGAATCCTGCAGGACCCTGCAGGATCCTGCGCGCTAGCCCGGGCCAATGCAACCCTGGCCCAAGCTTTGCAAGATCCCGCAAGGTCTGGCGCTCTGCTGACCCCCTGTTTGCATTGACCCCCCGTCTCTCACAACTCGACTCTGCTTCGGCGCCACTCGTCCGGCCCCTGGCGGGCCCTCCTGGAGCAGCTGCTCCACCGAGGGCCTCTGCCGGGGCTGCACCTGCAGCAACAGCCCGATCACCTGCCCCCACCCACCCGCACCTGCCAGCTGCACTCCCCCCCCTCCCCCGAGGTAGGAAGGCTGAGACGGAGGCAGGACGAGGACATATTCGGGCGAAGATTTACATCGGGGATCTCTGAGATTGGCGGGTCTGGAGGATGCATCGGCCGCCGCGGCCGTTTCGGAGCGTCCCCGGAACGCTCTGAGAGCGTGCAGGAACACTCTGGAACGACTCATCCTCATCCCAGAATGCCTGGAAGGCGCTCTTCCCTCGGCATTCTTCGAGCCGGATCGATGCGCGATGGGACACGGAAAGACACACTACTACCCTCAAAAATGGCAAACACGCCCCTGCGATGTCGGCACGCCCTTCAATGTCGATAGGCGCCCCTTCAATGTCGGGGCCAAGGCAAAGGTGGTCTGACCGGGAACGACTCGGAAGTTTGATGATGACCGACGTTGGAGGGGCGGCGCAGACAAGTACCTCACAGCCATCGCTACTCTGTCCAGGATCTCCCCACAAGCAGTTCGGCCACGCAAGACACTTCTGAGGTTAATTTTGACGAGGGTTCCAGTACCATGCGCCCTCCTCGGAAGCTCTTGTCTGAATCGATCATAACACTAACATCTTACAACGCATAGTTTCCCGAGCGGTGCGGCCGAATAACGCCCGCCACGGAGCCGGTGCTGCAAGACTCCTGCGCGTGCGCGCCGCCCTCGCGAGGGTGCGCGGCTTTTTGGGGGCCGCGGGGAGGCCGAACACACGCGCGCAAGACGCTACGATCGCATCGCGTGCGGCGCTCAGGGGGACCCTGGTGTTAAGTCGGGCGTGTCCCCCCACGGGCGGATTGTGGACGAAAAATACAAGTAGTGACAAAAATACCCCGAAAATCTGAAAATATTTTAAAAACCGTCCCCAGACTATTTTTGACTATGTTTGAATATTCCTCATATAGAGGGACAGGCCCGACTTAACCCTGGTTGGCCCGCACAGGTCACTCCGGCGAATTTAAGGGTCACTCTTACGTGCAGTCGAACGATGTGATGCTCCCGGGGCGCGATGCCGGGCGAGAACGCCTGGTGCGAAACAAAGATGCGACGCCCAAATCTCAATAAAGAAGAAACGGCATAATCATGAACTTCTGGCGCTCCGCACGGATTTCTTGGATCTGCGCTGACCCCGAGCGCGCCAGGGGCGGCGCCGGAGGCGCCGCCAGAGAGGGTCCCAGTGCAGATCCGAGAAATCCGCACGGAGCGCCAACAGTTCATGTTTGTGGCGTTTTTTCCTTTCTCGACTCGGGGCAGCTTCGCCCTCTGTCCTGGAGGCGCTCTCCCCTCCTCCGCCCAGGAGGAAGCCCCTCGCCTCCTCCTCCTGGGAGCGGAATTGAGGCCCCTTTCGGCCTCTCTGGGAGGGAGGCCCTCGATACTCGGGGCGTGGCCGCGTCTTGCCATCGTTCGCACGTCCACTCCCCGCGCCTTTGCTCGGCCTCGGGCGCTGGCTTTGTGACAAACAAAACGAAAAGCGAAACGCAAGCTTAGAACCGCACCAAAACAGAACGAACAACGAAACGCGCACCCCCCAAAAACATGTGAAATTCAAACGCCTCTGAAACAAAAACGAACATCACCACGGAACAACAACGACAAACGAAACGCAAAACACAACAAGGGCAAAAACCCGGCTAAACAGCGTTGTGCTCGGTCCTTGATTTTGTCGCAGGATGGTCCAAAGTGCTCCTCGATGGGCCTCGCCGAACCAATGGCGCCCGGCAGGGCGCAGCCCGAGGAGAGGAGGGGAGGGGAGAACCGGGCCGGGGCCGAAGGGCGCCGCAGGACTGCAGGGGGGGCCCGGGGCAAGAAGGAAGCCCGGTACGGCAGGACTCGTGTCCATATCCACTGCAGTTTGGAGTTTCGGGCTCACCTCCTCGGAAACCCGAGGCGCACCCGATATGGATAGACATCTGGCCCCCAGGGGCTCGATTTTTTTCCGTATCCAGTGCGGCTCGGCCTCGCGGCGTCCCTTCCAAGAGAGTCGACGCAATGGGCCCCTTGTCACCCACCAGCCCTGGGCGGGCTTCGGCGGTCTTCTGGCGGTATGCTGGCGGTCTTCGGCGGTTTTCCCCCTGTCTTCGTCGGTTTCCAGCGGCTTTCGGCGCGAAAGCTAATTAGGGGTCCATGATCGAACGCCGAAAGCCCTGGGTGTGTGGCTCCGCCGTGCTTTGGTTGATTATCCGACTCAAACCTGTGTCGGAAAGGCGCCCCAAACGACGCGACAAAATGAGGCGGAAGTTTGCGCATAGGCATGGCGCACACAGCGACATGAAGCCAGCTGGAGAATGATGCGGCGGAAACTCCCGCCCTGCCTGCGAAATCGCCCAAAATGGCCAGATCTGGAGCCCAGGGGTGCCAATACCGCTGCTCTCCCCGGGGTGCGCGTTTTGGCAAGGGCTAGGTCGGGCATGTCCTCCTAATGTGGATTTTGAAAGAAACATAGAATCAAACAATTGTCCGATATGGTTTTTTAAGGAAAAACGGGAATTCGTCCTGGACTATTTTTAACTAGTCTTGAACATTCCTTCTGTAGATGACTACCAACCCAGACCACCCCAACCCAACCCGAAGACCCGAGTTTCGGGTTGGAGGGGGGGTACGGTATCCATGCGTTTTTTCAGTGTTCCCCGACACCCCCCACTGGAAATGGATGGCAAATTGAGGCCTTCGGGTTGGGTTGGGGTGGTTTGGTGGGTGGTGAGAGTACAGCTTGGTTCGCCTTAAATGCGCTCAGGGCGTTTTTTTAGCGTTTTCAGCTCGGCATCTTGGACATCATATTTTTAGCGCTTTCAGGTCTCAACAGAAGAACTGAACAAGCTAACAAAAGCATGATGCGTTTTTTGGGCGTTTTCAGACAGTCCTGTAGCGTTTTCAGCCTGCAAACTAACAAAAAAAGCCAAACCAACGCCAAAAGAACGGCCCTCAGAGCGCTACAAAAACGCAGCGCTTTCTGAGCGTCTTCAGCCTGTCAAGAGCCCACAGCAGAAAACGCGGGGAAAAACAAAAACGCCCAGGGCGGTTTTTCAAGGCGAACCGACGGAGTGGGGGGACATGCACGACGCAAGGCCAGGAGGCCGCGGCGAGCCCAGGCGGTGGCGACGGGGGCCGGGACGCCCCGACGGGCGAACGAGCGGGGGAGGCGGGGCGAGGGAGGCCGACGCGCACCGTCGGCGCTTGCGCCGCACGGCCTGCGCCACAGAGTCTGCACAATTCTGGGGTGCAGCAACGCACCGATTGAGCCCACGCTGGCGAGCCTGCCCTCCTGGGCGGCGAGCGCGGGGGGAGAAGTCAGCAGGGGAGGGCCTGCTCTCAGAAGGCTCGGAAGTCCCCACGGCCTTCCGAGAAGAGGTCTTGTCTAAGCCTTCCCCGAAGGCACAAGGCACTTCTCAGGCGCCACAGAGCTTGCACATCCGGGGTGCAGCAACGCACTGCTTGAGCTGTGCTGTTCCCATCGTACTGAAGGACCACATCCCAGAAATCCGCCGACCCCGGGGTCACGGCGTGTGAGATGCTTCCCCCTCCCCAAACCCCTCCCCTGGGGGGCCCAGTCCGGCCGATTTGGAGGGGTGGTGCGCACCGGGTGGGGTGGGGGGCAAAGGTGCCGGCCGCACACCTGGAGCCTCAGGAGGCCTCAAAACGGCCAAAGAGGTTCAAAAGGGTCCTGGAACGGTCCAAGAGAGCTACGAGTCGACGAAAGATCGTTCCAAAACGCCGAAGGTTGCCTCCAGACGGCCCCATCAGTCCCCAAGACTCTTGACAAAGTACTACGAGGCACCCCACGAAGGCCCTCCAGAAACAAAAATCGCCCCATACCCTAGGGAAACCGTACTTTTTCAGCACATTCGCCTTTTGGGCTTCCACGCGGCCCACGACGGCCCAAGAAGCCTCCAAGATCAACCCTCCGCAGCAAAAGATGCTCCCCAGAAGGCTCCACGACGGCTTCCAGGCGATCCACGAAGACTCCAGAAACCATAGCAACGGCCCGGGGAGCCGCAGGACGGTCCCAAGAGGACTCCAAAACGGGTCAACAGGGTCCGCAAAGGCTGCCCAGACGGCCCACGCGGGGGACGATTCGTCCAAACCGCCCAAGATTGCTTCCAGACGACCCCATCTGCCCCCAAGACGTTTGAAAACGCGTCCACGAGGCGCTCCAAGAGGGCCTCCAAAAGCAAAAATCGCCCCATTCCGTAGAGAAAACATACATTTTCAGCACATTCGCCTCTTGGGCTTCCACGAGGCCTACGACGGCCCAGTAAACCTCCAACTTCGACCCCCGACACCCAAAAAGGCTCCACGACGGCTTCCAGGCGCACCACGAAAGCCTCAGAAACCACAGCGACGGCCCATGACAGTCGCAAGACGGTCCCACGAGGGCCCCACAACGGGCCAAGAGGGTCCCCAAAGGCCTTCTGGACGGCCACCGAGGCGGACGATTCGGTCCAAGCCGCCCCAGCTTGCTTGCAGACGATTCCCCATAGGCCCCCGAGACGTTTGAAAAAGCTAATACGAGGCGCTCCACGAAGACCTCCACAAGCAAAAATCGTCAAATCGTCCCAATCCCCAGGGGAAACATACGTTTTCAGCACATTCGCCTCTTGGGCTCCCGCGAGGCCTACAACGGCCCCAGAAGCATCCAACATCGACCCGCGACAGCCCCAGAAGCTTTCAAGAGGGTTCCAAGACGGCCTCCGGGCGACGCACGAATGCCCCAGAAACCATAGCAATGGCACTGGAGAGCCGCAGGACGGTCCCAAGAGGGCCCCAAAACGGGCCACGAGGGTTCTTAAAAAGGCCTCCTGGTCGGCCCAAGTCGTCCAACAGTGCACCAAATCGTCCAACATAGCCTTCCGACAGCCCTACGGGCCCCCTAGACCCTAGACGCCTCAAGACGCTGCCCAGAGGCGTCCCAAGAAGCCTTCCAGAAGCAACAACCGTCCCATTCTCGATGGAAAGCACATGTTTCCAACACGTTCGCCTCTTGGCCTTTCACGCGGCCCTTGAGACCCCTTGCACGCCCCAACACGCCACCAGGACGCGGCCTGAGAGGCCTTCCAGAAGCAAACATCGGCCTGTTCCCTAAGGGGAACGTTCAAGTTTAGCACATTCGCTCCTTGGACTTTCACGAGGTCCACAGCAACCCAAGAAGCCCCCAAATCAATTCAAGGAAACCCCATATGCCTCCAAGAGGGCTCCCAGACGGCCCAAAAGGTCCCCAAGAGGGCCCCCGCAGCCACCGAGGAGGGCCCCAGGACGGCCCCACAGGGCTCCCCCGACGCCCCCGAAGGGCTACGACTCGTGAAGAGATCGCTCCCAGACGCCCGCCATTGCCTCCAGCTGACCCCTGAGGCCCCCTAGACGCCCCAACACGCCACCAGGACGCGTCCCAAGAGGCCCGGCAGAACCAGACCTCGGCCCCTTCCCGAAGGGAAACGTCTAAGTTTAACACATTATCTTCTTGAGCTTTCACGAGTCCCACAGCAGCCCCAAAAAACCCGAAAGTCAATCCAAAGGCCCCCGCATGCCCCCGAGAAGGCTCCCAGACGGTACGAATGGGCCCCGAAGCCACCAGGGAGACCCAGGACGGCCCCGAGAGGAGGGTAAGAAGGGAAACCCGAATAGAGAATTCGAGCACTTCGCCCCGAGAAAACATGAAATGGCGCCTAAATGCACCCAAGAGGTCATAACGGGGATCCACAATGCCCCCGAATGACCCTGGGGCGTGGAGGCGGCCCTTCGTCGACGAAAACCATGAAACATGAAAATGCGAAGACTCTGCAACCAAATTCTTTTTTTTCTTCGCGCAGAAATCGTTCGCCCTGGGCCCCCTGAGCCTTCCTGGAATCCAGTCGCAATCGTTTTCCCAAATGCATCCGGCCGCGGCGACGTGCAGGGGAGGGGCCCATAACCCACCAACCATAACAAACCTTCCGAGTCCGACGGGCTACTTCGCACAAGTTCGTTCCCCGAACCTCTCCCCGGGTCCACTGATGCAGCTTCTCGCATCAAGTCCGTCCGGTTTTGAAAGTCCTGGGGCCCAGCAACGGCCCCCGGAGACCGAAACCTATCAAAACCACAAGCTATTCAAACACAAATCTCTGGAAAGGCGGCTGGAACTGCCGCGGGCATCTACCTCGATCGAGAAGAACAAGAGGAGAAGAACGAGTAGGAGGAAGAGGAGGAGGAAGAGGAAAAAAAAGAAAAATCAATTCGTCGTCGCCGCCGATGTCTCGCAGATTTTCACGGTCTCTCGACCACCCGAGGCATCTCCGCGAATTCAATTTCCAAGAACCGTTTTCGGTTCGCAGAACCACCATCGGGGGTCCGGGATGAGGATCGACCTCCCTGGCCGGCGCCACCACTTCGCAAAGGAAGGAACACGGGGTGGACCGAGGCGCGAGGCATGAGACTCCTAGTTCTTGGGCGCTCTCCGCCCCCTCTGGGCCTTCAGGAAACTTCTCGTCGACACAGCTAGGTCTCAACGTTCCCCGAGCCTATCCAGGGGGTGGAAAAGGAGACCTGGGACAGGCTCCGCAAAGGCCCCAAGAAACCCACATAAGACTACGAAAAACTTCAAAACAATCATCTACAAGGCCCCCCCTTGAACCCCACACGCTACGTAAGACAAGCTTAAGCCCCAAGATTGCCCAGCGATCGCGCGCGTCCCGCGACCTCCGTCTTTCACTCTTGCTGCCGCCCCAAGGGGTAGGCGATGCGGCGTAAGCCAATGAATCATTTCGAGCACCCAGAGAAAGGGATCGAAACGGTGCCTGCCCGACACGCTGGCGAGATGTCGAACGACAATCGCCTCCCAGGGCCCTACACGAGAAGGCCCTCGGTATTCTGGTGATCCAGGCTAAAGTAGGTCGGAGCATCGTAATGCTTGAGTCCACGCTGGCAAGCCTGCCCTCGTGGGCGGCGAGTCCGGGGGGAGAAGTGAGCAGGGGCGGGCCTGCTCAGAAGGCTCGGAAGTCCCCACGGCCTTCCGAGAAGAGGTCTTGTGTAAGCCTTGCCCGAAGGCGCAGAGCACTTCTCAGGCGCCACAGAGCTTGCACATCCAGGGTGCAGCAACGCACTGCTTGAGTTGTGTTGTTCCCATCGTACTGAAGGACCACATCTCAGGAATCATTCCGAGTACCCAGAAAAGGTATCGAAACGGTGCCTGCCCGATACGCTGGCGAACCGTCGAAGGACAATCGCCTCCCAGGGCCCTACACGAAAAAACACTCGATATTCTGGCGATCCAGGCTAAAGTAGGTCGGAACATCGTAATGCTTGAGTCCACGCTGGCAAGCCTGCTCTCTTGGGCGGCGAGCCCGGGGGGAGAAGTGAGAAGGGGCGGGCATGCTCTCGAAGGCTTGGAAGTCCCTACGGCCTTCTGAGAAGAAGTCTTGTCTAAGCCTTCCCCGAAGGCACAGAACACTCCTCAGGAGGCCGGAGGGTTTCGGAGAAGCCCCGCCGCCTTCTGAGAGGGCCTTCTCCTTATCGCTTCCCCCCTCGCTCGCCGCCGAAAGGACAGCATCGCAGCGCAGATCGCCGCTAGCACGCCGCGTCGACCCTCACTTGCAACGCACGCGCAGCTCGGGAGCCGTGCTCCGTCGACAGCCGGGCCCTGAGAGCCCCGTGCTGCCCCCCTCGAAAGAGAAAGCACGGCTCTAGGGGGGGGCTATTCCTTCAGCAGCCGAAGCTCGGGAGCCCTGCCCCCTCTCCTGGCAAGAGCAGGGCCATTGAAGGGGGCCTACCCCTCCTCCTCCTCCTCCTCCTCCTCCTCCTCCTCCTCCTCCTCCTCCATCCTCCTCCTCCGTCCTCCTCCTCCTCTCCTCCTCCTCCGCCCTCCTCCTCCTCCCCCTCCTCCTGGGCCCTCCTCCTCCCCCTCCTCCTCCTCCTCCTCCTCCGTCCTCCTCGTCCTCGTCCTCGTCCTCCCCTCCTCCTGCTTTCTACGTTAGTCCAACCTAGGCATGAAGCTGTGGCGTTCTTCTTCCTCCTCCTCCTCCTCCTCCTCTCCTCCTCCCTCCTCTCCTCCTCCCCCTCCTCCTCCTCCTCCCCCTCCTCCGTCCCCCTCCTTGTCCACTCCTCCCCCTCCTCCTCTCTCCGTCAACCGCCGAGCCCTGAGCCCTGTTCGTTCAACGGCTGAACCCGAGTAAACAAAGGGGGAGACCCCGTGCCACTAGGCGTAATTAGCCCGCGTCCCGAACCGACCTCCGACAACCAGAATCCACTCGATCCCCCAAGCACAACCTGTGCGTGTCGGCTCCTGGCTTGCCAGCGCCGAGTCCCGACAATCGCGCGCAGCCCACCCCACCTCGGACAGGTCCTGGCTGAAGTGGGACGGTATCCGCGGGTATTGGCCCTTCGTGACCTCGCAGGGAGTAGACTCAGGGCTGATGTCGGCAGCGCGCAAATAGCAGGATCGGCACACAACGTTCGATCGAACATCGTTGATGCGAGACTGGTGCGTGAACCTCAAACAGTGTTTCAATGCTGACCTGAGACGTAGCACACAAAGGGCAAGTAACATGGACTACGCCCGCTGAGCACCGAATTGCAAGGATACGATGGTGGCTCCCGAGATCACTCTGAGGATGGCATTCGGGTTGGCTTCCCGGAAGCCCAATACGATAGCACAAGAAGACCGCTTGCCAGTGGTCGTTTGATCGTTGTGGTGAGGCTCGAGATGTGCTATCCCATGCAGAGCCATTTCTGTGAAGGGTGAGTCAAAAAGAGGTTCGGGAGGGCTATATCCAGCGCGGGGGCGGAGGCCCGTATGGCAGGATGATGCGCAGGAAAGGTTCGCAGCGTGCCAGCGAGAACGAGAGCGAGAGGCAAAAACGACGACGATACCGCCGACGACGACAACGATGAAGACGGCTGTGGCAGCGCATGATGTGGCGACAAACGCGGCGATTCGCCGTGACAACAGCGACGATGAATTGACACGTTGTCCTCCACTTGAATCTACTCTGCCCCCTACGCCAATGCAGCAAGTATTCGATTCGGCTGGGCAGAGACGTGCGGACAAGCTGGAAGCCAACAACTGCACAATGCCATCTAACTTCAAACCCACACCCGAAACTAATATTCACGTGCACATGACACGCATAACACTGATCTGCAATGTGGTGCCCACGCAACAGTAATGTCAACTTTCAGTTGGAAACCGATGTGGGTTTGCATGGGTTCATGTTATTGCCCGCGTTGCCTCCAACAACAAGCACTACATTAACCATCAATCCATCTTCTTCTCCCCACCTCTTTCTCCTGGCGGCGGCCCCTTTTGCTCTCCCGACATCCGGCGGGAACGGTTGGCGCCCTTTGGCGCGAGCGCCGCTCGCGAGGGCAACCAGGGAGGAAAGCAAGGAAGCAGAACGAGAAGGAGAGCGAGGAGGATAACGTGGATGAGAGCGCTGAGGAGAAGGAGGAGGACAAGGACGAGGAGGAGGCGGAGGAGGGGGAGGAGAGGAGAGGGAGGAGGAGGAGGAGGAGGAGGAGGAGGAACAGAAGCAGGAAGAGGAGGAGGACGGGGAGGAGGGCTGAGGCGGAGAACAAGGAACGCAGGTAGGAGGAAAGGGAGGAGGAGGAGGAGGATGAGGAGGAGGAGGGGGAGGAGGAGGGGATACCAGGGATACCGCATTCACAAAAGTGACATCAACAACCTTCTAAGCAACTGCCACCGCGATCCACGACTCAAAAGACAAAGATTAAGCTCTGGAGCAGGTTTGCAAAGGCCATCTCAACTTTGCTTGCAGTTGTCCGTGGTGGGCGCAGCCGAAGGCGGCCGCGGGATCTGCTGCCGCCGCCAGCTCGGACGCAGCCACCGCGAACTCCCGAACATGGTGCCCACGTTCGCACGCCCTGCGGCATGTCCTCCGCGGCGCCATCTGCGGGGCAGTCATCCCCCGTGGGGGCCCTATTGGGGCCGTTGCCAGCGGCGAGCTGCCTGCCGCCTGCCTGCACGGCCTCGGCGTCAAGACGCGCACGACGACGGATCAACGACTGCCCCTTCAAGACGCGCCCAGCCACGCCTGCGAAACCGACCACCTGCATGTGGAGTTCCTCGAGGGGCACGAAGGACGTCGCATCGGCCCTGAACTTGCTCCGCCTCGCTGCTCTCCGAAGTGCCCCCGTACTGCGCGGCACCGGGGCGGACAACCCCGCAAACGACGAGAAGGCGATGGCGCCACATGTGCACCGCATGCCGATCTCCTTGACATCGACGGCCTGCCCAGCCTCGGACTGCTCGCAGGCGGCTTCGACCACGGAAGCGGGGTCCAGCGGCTGCCGCTCGCCTGGCGTGAGAACCTCCGCGGCGCCCTGGATCGGCTCCGCTGCATGGTGTTGAGCTCGCACTGCGTAGCACCCACAATCGCCGCCGCTGGCACGTCGAAGACATGGGCAGCTGCATAGTGCCGCGTGCGCACCACAATGGGTACCTCGATGTCCTCCATCTGGGCCTGCAGCGCCGGCGCGATCAGTACCAGCCTCGCGTGCAGCTCGTCGGCGACCTCCCCCTGGAGTACCCGAGGCTGCTCACCCTGCTTCGCCGAGTGGGTCTGGAGGCGGCTGATGGTTCCATCAGCGCTCGCACGAGCCCGCCGCGTGGCGGCCGCCCTCTCGGCTCTGCTTCTCCTCGGGCCACCCGCGTGGCGACCCGTCCTGTGGCCCACCACAGGAGGACGAGGGGAGAGGGAACAGGGAGGCGGAGGAGCAGGAGCAGGATGAGGAGGAGGAGCATCGCCCTGCTGAGGGTCCGCCGTCCGCGCCAAAACGATTCGCGCGAAAACTGCTGCCGTTCGGAAAGAAATTCGCTGGGCGCGTGCGCGCGAAAAGGTGCGCGCCAGTTCCCGGCGCTCCCGCGCGCCCTCCCTGTAGATACGCTGGAGCATGCGCTGGTCGGCTGCGCGTCGACCTGGCCTCGCCTTGAAGATGCTGAGTGCTGAAGAGGGGTGTGCGGGGGGGGGGAAAGGTGACGAGGAATTCAATGCGAAGAAGAGGGGTCCACCATCGCTTCTCAGCTCTTCCGCTCAATCTCCCCTTGCTCCTTACCCGAGCAACTCCTTGATCTTGCCGCTCTTGATGCACGGCTTGACGCCATGCCACGGCAAGGTGCCGTCGTTGCAACCACCGATGTAAGTACCCTTGACCCAAACGGACGGCGCGGACGCATTCCCCGTCTTCTTCTTCAGCTTATCCCGGTGCTCGCCGATGTCGAACTTCGTGAAGGTGATGCCCGCGTCCGTCAGCGCGCTCTCCGCCTGGCGGCACAAGGGGCACCCCGCACTGTCGAAGAAGACCTCGGTTGATAGCATGGCCGCGAGATGGGGGCGCGGCTGCGAGGGGCCTGCAACTTCGGCTCAACCCAGGAGCAGGAGGAACCGGCCCAATTCACCGCCGGAGCCATTTTGGCCCAATTCACCGCAGGAGCAGGAGGAGGAGAATGAGGAGCAGAAGGAAGAGGACGAGGAGCTGGTGGAGGAGGAGGAGGAGAAGGAGGAGGGCGGAGGAGGAAGAGGAGGAGGAGGAGGAAGAAGGAGGAGGAGGAGGAGGAAGAGGAGGGAGGAGGAGGACGAGCTGGAGGAGGAGGAGGAAGAGGAGGAGGAGGAGAAGGAGGAGGGGAGGAGGATGAGGAGGAGGAGGAGGAGGAGCTGGAGGAGGAGGAGGAGGAGGAGGTCGAGGAGGAGGAAGAGGAGAAGGAGGAGGGGGAGGGAACGGGTGTGAGGGGGAATCGAACATCGAACGTTTCGGCGTGCTTTAGCTCTTGGAAGTTTCCAAGGGCCTCCAAAGGATTGGAGGAGAAGGAGGAGGAGGAGGAGGAGGAAGAGGAGGAGGAGGAGTAGGAGGAAAAGGAGGAGGAGGAGGAGGAGGAGGGGGGTGAAGAGGAGGAGGAGGGGGCGTAGATAAGAGGAGGAAGAAGAAGAGGAGGAGGACGGGGAGGAGGAGGAGGAGGAGGAGGAGGAGGAGGAAAACGTAGCACCCCGCAGATGCGGATAAGAGTGAGAGGGCGGTGGGGACGTCGGCAGTTTGCGAGACTCTGGAGAAGCCCGCCGCAGGCGCCAAAATTTCTCAAATTATGAATCGCTTCGCTCATTCCGCCGGCCCTGGAGCGCTATTTGGGGCCTCTTGGGGCCGTCTTGGGGGCTTCGTGGGGGCTTCTTGGGAGCGTCTTGGGGCTCCCACGCTGCGTATTGGGCTCCCCTGGGGCCTCTTGGGGGGCTCTTGGGGGCCCCTTGGGGCGGGGGGGGGGAAGTCGATTGCAGCCCCCCCCTCGGAGGCCACGATCCTCGTGAGGGGTGGCGAAAAATAGCCTCCCCCCTGGGGATCGCCCGGGGACCAGCCGGGGATCGGCCGGGGTACTTTTCGTCCGGGGCCCCCCAGGGGCCGCCCCGCGCGCGCGAACTAGAAATATTGTTAAGTGGTTACCGGAGATCTCAGCACGCCTCAGTTTCTCAAATTATACAACGAGCCCGCAGCAGGCGCCGATTCGTTAAACCAATGGGGGTACGTCGTGGGTGGGTCGCAATGGGTCGCGGGTGGGTCGCGGCTGCGTCGTTGTTGGGTCGCGGGTGGGTCGCGGGTGTAGAGGGCAGAAAATTCACCCCATAATTCGCCGGCCCAACGGGCCAGAGGCGTGCTAAGATCTCCGGTAACTACTTAACAATGTTTCTAGTTCGCGCGCGCGGGGCGGCCCCTGGGGGGCCCCGGACGAAAAGTACCCCGGCCGATCCCCGGCTGATCCCCAGGGGGGAGGCTATTTTTCGCCACCCCTCACGAGGATCGTGGCCTCCGAGGGGGGGGCTGCAATCGACTTCCCCCCCCCCCCGCCCCAAGGGGCCCCCAAGAGCCCCCCAAGAGGCCCCAGGGGAGCCCAATACGCAGCGTGGGAGCCCCAAGACGCTCCCAAGAAGCCCCCACGAAGCCCCCAAGACGGCCCCAAGAGGCCCCAAATAGCGCTCCACGGCCAGCGGAATGAGCGAAGCGATTAAATAATCACCCCGACAAGCGAAACCGTTTAGTAAACGCACACAAGGAATGAATCGAACAGGGCAGGGCTGTTCAGTCAACGCTCAAGGCCGTTTAGTAAACGTCACTTGTCGGGTCCGGGTGTTTTTTCCTCCCTTGAGGGTGGGTCGCGGGATGGGTCGCGGGTGGGTCGCGGGGTGGGTCGCGGGTGGGTCGCGGATGGGTCGCGGGGGTCGCGGATGGGTCGCGTGGTGGATCGCGGGTGGGTCGCGGGGTGGGTCGCGGGGGGGGTCGCGGGGGGGTAAGGGTTGGGTCGCGGGGTGGGTCGCGGGTGGGTCGCGGGTTGGGTCGCGGGTGGGTCGCGGGGTGGGTCGCGGGTGTGGATCGAGGGGTGGATCGCGGGGTGGGTCGCGAGGTTGTCGCGGGTGGGTCGCGGGTGGGACGACGACAACAAACAACAACAACAACAACAACAACAACAACAACAACAACAACAACAACAACAACAACAACAACAACAACAGCAACAACAACAACACCAACAACAACAACAGCAGCAACAACAACAACAGCAACAACAACAACAACAACAACAACAACAACAACAGCACCAACAACAACAACACCAACAACAACAACAACAAAAACAACAACAACAACAGCAACAACAACAACAGCAACAACAACAACGACAACAACAACAACAGCAACAACAGCAACAACAACAGCAACAACAACAACAGCAGCAACAACAACAACAACGACAACAACAACGACAACAACAACGACAACACCAACAACACCACCACCAACAACAACACCAACACCAACACCAACACCAACACCAACAACAACATCAACATCAACATCAACACCAACACCAACAACACCGACAACAGCACCAACACCAACACCAACAACATCAACAACAATAGCAACAACAACATCAACAACATCAACAACAACAACAACAGCAATAACAACAACGCCGCAACAAGCAGAACTTTCACCACGAACTCCTTATTCAACCACGCACCAAAGGACACCAAAGGACAATGAATGTCCGTTCGGAACCCTCACTCTGATTAACAAATATAAGAAGAAGATTAGTAAGAAGAAGAAGACTACGAATAAGACGAATAATTGTATGTTTAAAAGACTCAAAATAATAAGTAGCGTTGATGAATAATTATAATATTAATTCTACGACTAAGAAGACTAACAGGCATTCTATTAATAACAATACTAATAACAACCATAACGCCGACGCGGACCATGCCCGACGCCGCGCGCGGCCTGGGCGGGCCCTCAGAAGAGCTCGAAAGCGTGGAGGTCGAGCGAGAAGAAGACGCCGTCGGAGACCGCGTTGAGGGGTGGGACAGCCGTGCCCCAACCCCCCGCCCCCCCCGGCCCTCCGAAGCCTGCCGCCCGCGCGTACGGCAGCTCAGCATGATGCCCCCCTCCGGAATCGCGTCTATAGATGAGACGAGCGCCGCCATCTGCTCATCCGCGAAACGGTTGATCGCGACCTGCGACATGCCACGAGCAACGAGCGACCGACGAGGTACTGCCGCCGCGGGGAGGAGGAGCTCAGAGCAAATGCTTCACTTCATCGCGCCCTGGCGCGCGCGGCGGCGGCACGGGCCGCTATGCCTCATGAGCGTGACGATGGAGGTCTGGTCGAAATCCATGATGTCGCGGTACAACGTAGGCCTCGCAGACCGCCTTGCAGGAGTTGCGCGGGAGCTCGTCGGAGCACCGCTGCCTGGGCGCAGGGGGGCCGAGATTGGCCAGGACCGCCGGGGCCTTGATGGCGTTCTCGTAGGAAGTATTGCCGCTGGCTGTCTGGTGCGCCGCAGCACCCGAGGGCGCGGCGTCTCTTGGCCATGGCGTG